CTGCCGATAGCGTACCGGATTCGCTTCAAAGTGCTGGTGCTTACCTTTAAAGCCCTATATGGTCAGGGTCCAGCATACCTAACGGACCGCCTTTCCCCATATGTTTCCCCACGGGCACTACGGTCAGGCGCGAAACATCTTCTGGTAACACCAGGCCCGAAGGAGGCTAGGCTGGCCATTACCAGGGCCAGGGCTTTTTCGGTGGCGGCTCCTACCTGGTGGAACGAGCTCCCGGAGGAGATCAGGGCCCCGCGGGACTTAATGCAGTTCGGCAGGGCCTGCAAGACGGAGCTCTTCCACCAGGCATTTGAGTAGGAGCCGCCACTATGGTACCATCATTACGTGGCCCTGGAGGAAGAACGCCGGTATTGTCCGGAACAGAGGACACTGAGCTAGCAGAGCAGCAGTAAGTTCGTCATCGTTGTCGAATATCTGGAGCACTTTATATTTATATTTGTAATTTTGTAATGTCATATGATGTTTAAATGTTTTTAAAAATGTTTTTATGTGTCGGCGTATGCCTGTCTGTGACCCGCCCTGAGCCCGCTCTTGCGGGGAGGGCGGGCTATAAATCGAAATAAATAATAATAATAATGTTCATGCTCATGTTCATGTCCATACCAGTATATAGTACTCTCAGGCAACTCTCAAGTGATACATCCTTGTTGTACTATTATCCCTTCTGTTCTGAAGCCTATGTAATCCTATCCGTCTTTTTACTCTGATACAATTCTGCATTGTATGTTGCTTTGATGTTGAAATTCAATTGTTTGCACTCAAATTTAAATAAAATTATTTTTTAAAAAAAGAGTTGGAAGTTTGCCCACATGAGTCAACCTGAAATTCTTAACTCATGTATCTAGAGTGCCGTGGAGCTGCATCATAAATACTTTCTTTAAAAGTCCAAAAAAGGTAGTTATGTGATCAGTTTATAACCAGATTGTAGAGATATTTATAGAAGCAGGCCTTTTTGAAACCCTTCACCCTTGCAGGTTTTTTTAGCACAGGTAGAATAATTTGTTTGAACATTAGACTTAGTGAACAAGCAACCATCAGCCTATTAAAGATTATGGATTTCCAGTGTGTCTTATTTAAAAGTAGAAAGTTTAACAGAATTTAGAATCCCAAAACACTGAGAAATTATCCTAATATGTAAGGATACAACTTGAGACAGTGTGTATTGGCTTGTTTATGACTTCAAGGAAGCGACACTGTTTGAGATAAGTTTTGAAGCAAATGATTTTATAGCCAGGAGGCTTTTTAAATGTTATTTTAACTGATGTATCCGATGGTCTTAAGAGGGCAAGCAAAACCTAGGCTTTCTTTGATGTGTCAGCTATATAGTCAGCTTAACATGTGATGCTTTTAATTATCAAAACATCAAGTGCTCTTGTAAGGTGCTGAATAATCAGCTTCCTATAATTTATGTTGGAATTATGGACATCTGAATTTTGCTTCTATTAGTGCAATCCTAAACAGCGTTGCACTCTTCTAAGTCAAAGTCAGTGGGTATAGGATTGCTTTGTTTAGGATTGCTTTGTGTGAGATTTCAGTACGACAGCAGAAAAATTCAGCACTGTGCAGCTATTGCTGCATGATTTGACTCGTGCCTATTCATGTTGATAAGGATACAGAATTTAAAGGTCTTTGCTTTTAGGTCCCTTGCATCTGAAATTTGAGTACTTAGCTGGCTCCTGGGAAAATCTGCAGGCATTTTTGAGATGTGATTTGGAGCAGAGAAAGGACTAAGTGCTCCACCTACCTGTCTTCCCCACTCTTAACTGTGCCATCCTAAGTAGAGTCACATTATGGTAAAGATCACTGGAGTCAACGGGCTTAGAATCAAAGCTCTGCGGCTCCGACTTCTGATTCTTAGTTGATGATGACTTAATTTCTATAACTAAATTTACAAATTACTTAGTAACTAAGTTTACAAATAACTTAACTAAGTGATGTCTCTTGACTGAAGGGCTAAATTAGTGTTTAGTTTTCAGTAAGCATTATTTCTAGGCCTGTATTAATTCTACACTGGAAAAAATAATCTGCAACCTCTGTAGCAAGAAAAAGCATATATTGCAATCTGTATACATTATGCAAATTGCATAATTTCTCTGGTTGTACATAATTTCTCATACACCTTTTAGTGTTCTCCACAGTTTCCTTGGTTTCTGCAAGTCATGGGGAGAGGTATAGAACTAAGAAGGACACTGAAGCAAGTGTCCCTTCCAACTCTAACATTCTGTGATTCTATGATGCTCTGGAATCTGACAGTGACATCAGAGAAACACCACTGCGGTCTGGCACCCAAACCACAGGAAAAATCCAGTGTGAAAGAGCAGCCAGTCCTTTGCATGTCAGTCATCCATCCTGGCTTGTGTTCCATGTGTATCAGTTCCCTGTAGATGTTTCTGGTGTGACCTTGTTTAGATGGTTCAGGATTGCATTGTTCTGTTCTCTACTCTTCTCCTGTTGGTCAGTCTTTGTCTTCCTTTTACACTTCCTCTTTCAGTGGTTCCTTGTAGCTTTAACCCTTTCCTACATTCGCATTGCTTTCCTTTATTCTGATTTATTTTGTACTTACCAGTTTTCTATACCACTTCTCCTCACTGCATGAAGTAGTTTACAATAAAACAAGTTATTTATAACATTAATTCTAGGTCTGTACCACATACATATGAAGCTGTCTTATACTGAATCAGACCATTGGTCCATCAAGGTCAGTATTGTCTACTCCAACTGGCAGCAGCTCTCCCGGGTCTCAAGCAGAGGTCTTTCACATCACCTATGGCCTGGCCTTTTCAACTGGAGATGCCAGGGATTGAACCTGGGACTTTCTGCATCCTCAGGAGATGCTCTGTCACTGAACCACAGTCCTTCCCCACCTTCCAAATCTGTATTACTTTTAAAAGCAGGGAAGAGAGGGAAGAAGTCTTCCCACACTTCAGCAGGTTGTCCTGGTAGGTGAAGAATGGCCAGTGTTAAACCCATTTGGATCCAATCCTTTCCATACATGTAATCACAGAGAACATACCCTGAGGGAGAACAAGAGATCTGTTTGAATCACTGTTTCAAAAATATCATATTGGAAAAGCATTAACTCCCAACACCTTTGCCACATGAAAATAAGCAGATCCACAAAATAGGCTGAACTTGTAAAACAGCTCTACGTTTCTGTGGGACATATTTCTACCCCTGTTGTAAATAGGTTAAGATTGGGAAAGAATCCTAAGGACTACCATGTTCAAATTCTTGGTACTATTTCTAAAACATCCCTGAAGATGATCGCAGGTCTTGGACTTAAACTTTTTCAGAAGGTTAGCACGGCACCTGCTGCTCATAATCAACAAGTGGACCTCTGTATAAGAACATTGACGAAGAAGGAAAGCCATCCCACTTTATTTGGCAACCTTTCTCAAGATCTGTTTTTTCCTTCCACTCTTGGACTGCTGCAGTGTGGGCCTTCCTTCCACACTTGCATAAAGACTTTCATCTGCTGTGCTACAATAGGCTCTTGTCCTGTTCTCCCCCCCCCCCCCCCCTTTAATCTCGGTTAAAAATATTTCAAGATGCTTTGTTCAGTATTATTTGGAATGGAAATAGGAGCAATATGAGGAACAGAACAGGATATTCATGCTAAATGACCTCTTAATGTCTTAGCCCCAGTATGGAACATGACCTCTGGGAAGCCATGTTTAGCATTGAAGAGCAAAGTACGCTGAGAAGAGAGGCAGACTGAGATGCTGCTGGTTTTATTGAAGCTCCGGGAGCTCGTGCTCAGAAAGCTATGCTGAAGTTACAGATTTAACAATGGGTATGGTTTGTGGGTGCTCAGCCTCTTTTGCAACGTCCATGTCTTCATTGTGAAAATGTGTCTTGCACGGATTCACTAACCATTGGTTTGATTGACTGAATGGGATGTTTTCAGGATTAAGTGAACACAGTCACTATGCACACAGTTTGAATAGGTCACCTGAATCTTTTGTCATGAGCGGAATTTATGATTTTGCCTGCTACTACTTAAGCCACATTAGAAAGATTTGTAACATATGTAAAATCATAATTTTGGCTTGTTTTGAACAATTCAGGTGACTGTTTATTATGAGAAAGGTACCCCTGGGCAAGATACAACTAGCCAGGGGTCATTTCGTAGAAAAAGAGGTGCAGGAGCTCATTAGCATAGCTCATTAGCATTACTTATTTGCATGTGCCACACCCCCTGACATCACCAGAAGTGTGTCAGAAGGCAGCACCCACCGCTCAGGCTCCACTGGACTGTTTTGGATTGCTAGCTATCGGGGGGACGGGGACGTGCAAATCTGTCCTTGCAGAGGAGGGAGAGCTTGTACCTGAATAAAACTTGGTCTTAAAGGTGCCACTGGACTGTTTTGGACTGGGGGGCGGCTCTGCAACTTACCTGGCTGCTTCTTGCTCTGACTGAAAGCTGCTGGGAGTAGGGGATGGGGCTTGTTGCATATGCCCACCCCCTGGGCTCTTTACTGCCGGAGCTCCACTCCTGTGTGCTTCTGCAGGAAATGACCCTTGCAACTAGCCCTTAAGTACAGTGCTCCTAATGAGTTGTATGGAATGAATAATTTTTAATTCCTGGATAAAAGAATCTTATGTGGAAACCTAAACCAGAATTTTCAAGTACATGACATTCTGAAGAACCCAGCGGTTAGTGAATCTATGCAAAACAGCTCTTGATGTTAACTACTCACACCATTAGCTCTGTAGCCTGTTTAAACTATGTACCTTATAGCTTCAGAAGTGTTTACCATGAACAGAGGTGGCATGCCCTGAGAAAGGAGTCCAGGCACCTGGGATGTTTTGTGTTGTTTGCTTGCTTTGTGTCCTGTTTTTTTATGAAATTAAAAGGTTTCTCTGCAAGTTATATTGCTCTAGGAGAAAGTATCATTGGGAATAGCTTGATGATTTCTTCTTTATTATTCCACCCCCCCCTTATTTCTTCCAGTTTCTTGTGCAGAGAATGTTTAATCAGGTGTTTTACGTTCCAAATGATAATGTGCAAGTGCTGGCTCTGAAGTTTTATTTGAACATCAGAAAATAAGAATATGGACACAAATATACAAGGTCAGTGTGGGGAGCATAACATTCTGTCTGCAGTACTAGAGGACTGGTTAAGATGGTCTGCCCCAGAGACAGCTGGATCTGGTTGGTTTCTTGTCTGCCTTCATTGTTTTTACCTGACTTTTGCAAGTTTTCTTGTTGAGGCCTGAGAACACTGAGTTTTCCTCTGCGCATTCTGTCCCACTGACTAAAATCAAAGCAACTCTTTGGTTATTTGGGGATCTCTTTGAGACAACAGTTAGAGCACTGATGGCAGAAAATAATAAATCCAGCTAAATATGGCAAATCTAGCCAGATATGGTTTAGAGCACATTTGAAGCCCTAAACCATAGCGGTACAGATGTCAAAGTAAACTCCAGCAACTTTACATCTGTTATCATCCAGCTAAACTGATTAGCCAAAAGGTTTACTCAGCCTTGTGCTGCTAACCCATAGAAACATCTATAACCCATTGCAACTTATCAGTGAATCATTTTGTGGGTCAAGGTTTCAGAGGCTGTCCTGGCTGACCCCCATAACCTGGGCTAGTCACAGTAGCTTGGAAGAGCTCCATTTGGTATCACCCGAGGAGGTAGACAAGACGCTTAGGGAAGTTCTGGCCACTGTATTCCCCCATAGCCAGTTCCATTCTTGGCTGTTGTAGCTAGTCAGACGAGGCTGGCTAGCTTGGTCAGCATTAGACCTGTAGCCACGGTGGGGCATTTGGAGGCAGAATCCCACCACCTGATGATGCCAGACTCTCCCACCTCCCAGTGCTCCTTGCCCCACAAGGCTGGGGAAAAAGGGAAGCCACCCTGCAGCTTCTGGTCAGTTTCACTCCCCCACAGGGCAGCTTTCCTTTCCTTCCCCAGCCTCCCCACCATTGCCAGAGCTGGGGAAGGAAAGGAAAGCTGCCCTACCCTTTTTGGTCAGTTTCATTCCTCTCTGATCAGCTTTTAAACCTATCTGCTGTTCCTCCCCAATAAAACTGACCAGAAGCTGCAGGACAGCTTTCCTTTCCTTCGCTAGCCTCCCTACTGCTGGGCGGGGGGGCAGCTGGGGAAGGAAAGAGAGAGAAGGCATGGTGATGGTGGTGTGGAAGCCAATCTCTTTCTCTCTCTCTCTCCCATAACTTTCTATGGTTGGGGGGGGGGGGATGATCAGAGGTCATTTCAGTGGGTAACGTG